GGCCATATCATGTAAAGCAGTGGTTCTCCTACTTTGGTCTTCCAGAATGTTTTGAGACTTTAACTCCTAGACTTCTTGACCATTGGCTGGGACTTTTCAAACTGAGCTCATATGGAACAGTGGTTCCCAACCTTTGGTCCTCCAGATGTTTTGGACTTCAGCTCCCATAATTCCTGACTGTTGCCCAAGTTGGCTAGGGTTTCTAGGATCTGAAGTCCTAAACAAGTGGAGGACCAAAACTTGGAAACCACTGAAATGGAGGACCAAGGATTGAGGTGGACTTGTTTCCAGCTCATTCTATCCAACCTGTGCTACCATGGCTAAACCTACCATGCTTAGCAGCTGCATCTCTAGGAGATCTTCTTCCTCTGCCCCATCTCTCCCAGGGGTTGAGTCTTCTTGGCTGGCCTTGTATTTGCTCACAGTTCCTAGTTTCACAACAAGCGCAAATGTCCCTGGTGCCCTCAACTGGAATCCAACTGGAGTAGAGCAAGGATGGAGGAGAGAGAAGCAAAAGGTCAGAGTTATAGACAGAGTTGGTCCACCTTTGTACAAAAAAAAACAAACAAACAAAAAACCCCACATTAAGCCCTATTCTCTCCCACTAGGTAAACTTACAGCCTCCCAAATGTTGTAGTACCTTTGAAACTAACTGTGTAGAAGAAGTCGTAGCATAAGCTTTCGTAGACTTTGATACAGTTAAGTCTCAAAAGTGCTACAAGATCCCCTTGAATACTAATATTTCAGACTAAAATAGCTATGTTGGAATTCCTTCCAAACGGTGTCGGAATTTATTTCCCAACAGCCACAGCCAATGGCAAAGAACCATAGGAGCTTTAGTCCAAAATGCCTGGATTTGAAGTGGAATTGAAATCTGGTTCTGCGTCCTATATCCACTTATTTATTTGGTCCTCAAAAATGCCTAATTCATATAAGCAATACCAAACAGAATATGAAGAATTCCTGAGAATCCTTTGTGTCTGAGACCATGAATACTAGGGAATATGGAGAGTCCTAGGGTACATCTACACTGTGGAAATAATCTAGTTTGATGCGCCATCGTATGGAATCCTAAGATTTGTAGTTGCACAAGGTCTTTAGCCTTCTTTGCCCCAAAGTGCTGGTGCCTCACCAAACTACAGATCTCAGGACTCTGTAGGCTGGAGCTATGACAGTTAAAGTGGACTCCAACTGCATTATTTCTACAGTGCAGAGGCACCCTAGTCCACACTCAAACCACTATTTGCTATCACTCTCTAGTGCACATACCCATCCACTCACATGTTACTAGCTTGACTGAAGGAACAAGCCTTGTTCTCACGATCAGGAGCCTGGTCAGCTGTAGTAACTTTCAAGTGGCAAGTTATGTAGATCTAAAGAGCAGAATGCAATGAGGAATA